GCTAGATGTACAGTATATAATATTGTATATAAAATTAATTCAGGCTAGGTGTGCAAACAAGTCACACTCTCTCAGACACACAGAGAAGACTAAATGTCTCCCAAAACTACATATCCCAGAATCCCATTGCATTGAGCCATGGAAGATAAAGTGGTGCCAAACTGCTTTATTTCTGCAGTGCGGCAGCAGTTTAGGACTCTTGAGAGACCAGGGTTCAAATTCTCATTCAGCCATAAAGATAACAACAGCACACTACTGGATGGCTATGGGCAAATCACACTCTCTCAGCCTTAGATGAAGGCAGTGGCAAATCTCCTTGGAATAAATCTTGCCAAGAAAACCTTAGGATAGGGTCACTGTAAGTCAGAATCAGCTGGAAGGTGCATAACGAATTGTTGATAGCCAGTATGGTATAGTGGTTTGAGTGTTGGACTAGGACATGGTGAGATTCAGGTTCGAATCCCCGCTCAGCTGTGGAAACTTCCTGGGTAACTTTGGACCTTCTCTCAGCCTTAGAAAAAGGCAGTGACCAACTTCCTCTGGATAAATCTTATTAAGAAAATCCTAGAAATCAGTCATCTTGAAGGCACCTAAGAACCACAAGGCAGGTAGATAAGACCATGGCTGTTGCCACACTGCAGAATTAATGCAGTTTGACACCACATTAACTTATGTGGCTCCATCCTATGGACTCCTGGGATTTGTAGCGTGTTGTGCCACCACAGCTCTCTGACAGAGCAGGCTAAATATCTCACAAAACTACAAATTCCAGTATTTCATTGAGCGACAGCAGTTTAAAGCAGGGTCAAACTGCATTAATTCTGTAGCATAGATGAAGCCTGAGAGATGTTAGACCTACCTGTTCAGACAGGCTTTTAAAACAGAATGTTTTTAAAGGACCAGCTTGGGGTGTTGTATCGTTTAAGTGTTTTAAACAGTTCTATCTTTTTAAGCTGCATTTTGTTCTTTTAATAAGCTATCTGTTTTAATATTGTAATAATTCCATTTTAATGTACCACTTGTACGTGTTTTTGATTGTACTGTTCTTTTAATGTTGCGAGCCGCTCTGAGCCCTAGTTCTGAGCAAAGAGCAGGATGCGAATAAATTTGATATGTGATGTGATATTTTATAAAAATGCAGAAATTGCCATTTGACAGACAAATGGAAATGAGGTGTTTCCAGGCTAATGGTTCCTTTTCTTTTCACAGACCTCTGGCGAGAAAGTGGGCAAGCTAAGCTTGGTGGACTTAGCCGGCAGTGAAAGAGCAACCAAGACGGGAGCCGCAGGGGACAGGCTGAAGGAGGGAAGCAACATCAACAAGTAAGGCTTTGTGAATAAGGAACTGGATATTTGCAAATGATGAATTGTAGGCAGGATGCATGTGCCTCTACACTCACTCATTCATTCATGAGTATGACTGGAAACTCATGGAAATTCGTACGTATGACTGCAAAAGAGGAAAGATCAATATTTCTGATTTCATGGAAAGAGCGATTCCCTCAATGAGCCGCTCAATGGACCTGTCCGCACTGCAGATATAATCCGGTTTGACACTGCTTTAACTGCCATGGCTCAATGTCGTGGAATTCTGGGAATAGCAGTTTGTTTGTGGCACCAGATCACAAACAAGGTACCATTCCTAGAATTCCATAGCATTGAGCCGTGGCAGTTAAAGCAGTGTCAAATTGGATTATTTCTGCAGTGCAGGATGTAGCCAATTTTTAAGAAGGGAGCTTACTTTGGTTTCTCTAGATTTCCCTACACCACTGATGCTATT